TCCACAAAATTCTATTCGTAGATTCACTACAGACTTACTTCACAGTTTTGCATTTGCATATGCCTACCCACGTTTGTTATAACTCTGGCGGACAGGGTGTTATAAATAAAGCAACGTTTAAAAACCAACTGTAATGTAAAATGTATATCCCCTAACGAATCGTGTTTACTCACTCAGGCCGACGAAAGGCGCGGTGTCACATTACCAGTGGCTGCAGCAGCAAAAATGCTGTTGAACAAAACAACACAAAATAGGTTTCCAGCCGTTAGCGCACATAACCACGGATATTCTACGGAGTACCTCGATGAACAATCTTTCTGGGCACTGTAGAGACGAAGTGTCGCGATTGAGTTTCCCGCATACCGCAGATCTAACTTATCTATACTTCTACTGATGGGGAAGCCTTAAAACGATGTAAACATAGAAACCAGCTTGCCGCGCTTCGTGAAATAAATTGCAAATTTATATGTTGCAATGCGCTGTAGACTTTTAGCAAATGTGCTCGAACTACTCAGAAGTGTATTGACGCCTATACTAAACATTCGGAGCATGCATTGTAAACTGATGTACGAGTAAAAGTGTTACAATAATTAATGCTCATGTGGTACTTAACATAATTAATGTGTGAATTCAGCTTAATGTTAAGACAGATTTTTATTTACTTCAAGTGCATACATTTTTGGCAACCCTCTGTAGTATACGATATAGTAACAAAATTAAGTAATGAATACATTGTAAATAATGTTTCTATACACGTTAACTTGGCAATTTTAAGGCTCGTGCCATTTGACTATAGGTGAATGGCAATCCAAGTCTTCCGCCTCAATCCGCCTGCCTAACCGAAACTTGTGAAGCACGCGTTTAGTACAGGCACTGAGCCTGGTACTCTTTAGAGCCTCTTTTTCAGAAATCAGTGCAAATAAAGATATATCCGAATGTTCCTAACCAGGGGCAAAAGTCGCTGGAGAAGAAGAAGGAAGGACACTTACCTTGCGGCATGTGTTATGAAATATTTGAACCGAAATGTAGGCTCACGCCACGATTACGAAATATCATGTTTAGATTTCCAGACGAAATGCACACATTAAAACTGTAGGACCATATTTTTTTTTCGAAATGACTAAATCTGCATGTTTGACTGGATAGACACGCTTTCCTTGCCTCAAGGAGCCGCTCATGCTATCATGCGGGCTTGAATTGATCTGAATCAGAACTTACGACCATACAGGCGAATTTCCTTCCAAAACAATACACACTCGCAGTTTTCTAGGCGTTTCACAAGCTTCGACCGAGTCTGGCACTCATGGTTACTGAACAAGCTAAAAGATATTGGGTACTCTTTCATTTCTCTAATAAATAATTCAAATCTTTATCGAAGTCGATCATTTACGTATGGATAAACAACACAGTTGGCAACATTGAAAATATGTCTGCAGAATACGTAAGGATAATCGTTATACACGTGTTATATAACATACACAAAGAGCAGTCTTCCCCCGCCAGTAAAAATCGCAAATGCCACCTTGCTGACGACCCACCTTGTTAATCTCCTCCAGTAACTGCGAACGAGAGCAAACTACAAAGAAAGATACTACAAAATTGTAACGTGACAGAGAAATGAAGGATAGTTCTAAACGCATCTAAAACAGTTTGTAAAGGAAAAATATTATCTTACCACCATTAAATATTCTAGATACTTCAATACCCTGGACAGACCTTTGTATTGTATATCATAATATATTTTTTCCTTTGTTATTTAATTTATTAGGTTAATCTGAAAAGAATATGTATAATAAGTTAAACATCTCAACAAAATAATGTAAATCAGCACATGCTGATCTTATTGAATAATAACTTTAAACCAAAAATAGTTGTTTTATTAGTACTATGTCAAGACAAGCTTCGGACCATATAGATAAATATAGCAAAGAAACACTTTAAGTATTCTATAATACAATTTTATTTACGAATACCACAGAAAGAGGCAATAAATGCTAATACAAGAACAGCTCAGCAAAGGCCAGTCAGTGCGATGCTCGGACTTGTATTTACATTTGTTTATTTGTCAGTAGCCCAGTACAGTAGAGGCTCTTTGGACTGAATGAGGTGCCTTCGCGTTGTTTTTCACAATTTCAGCGAATCCCGCAGCGAACCCAGATCGCCCGACACAATTCCCATTGAACATGTATGAGACATAATCGTGAGGTCAGTTCGGATATAAAATCCTGCATCGGCAACACTTTCGCAATTGTGTACGGCTATGGAGTCAGCATGGCTTCATGTTTCCGCAGGGGACTTCTAACGACTTGTTGACTCCATGACACGTTGAGTTGCAGCACTTCGCCGGGCAAAAGAAGGTCCGATACGATATTAGGAGGTATCTCATAATGTTTGTCGCCTCGGTATATTAGGTTTAAAATACACAAAACTTTTCAAAATTTTAAATCCGTCACCAGATTTTAAATCCGTTACCGCCAAAAGTAAGTGCCTCTCCTTGAGTTTTGAGAATTAACAAAGAAAGCATTAATGGTGTGACCAATATTTATTTAATGGTTCAAAAGCCAATCTATTTTTTTTTTCATTGAAAATCTCGCCATAATGAGAGATCTCCACAGTTCAGTTGAGACGAAAATTCAACAGATCATCAATCTTACATTATTACCAGCATTTGTTTCTATCGTAATTAGTGATCCTTAGTCGTTTATAAATCTGCTGAAGAAAAAATTTCAGACCGACCATATATATTCATTGATAGTGGTACATAATACAAATATTTGATGATAGCCATGAAAGGCCCAAGTCATTACTGAACGCATGCATGAGCAAACTCCACATCGCTTGTAGATCATTCGAACTTTGCGGGTTTAGCCTGATTAAGTGGAAACTTCAACTTAATGATTTCAAAAAATTAACACTGAAATTCTGAAATTTAATTTGTAATTAAAACATGTAAAACAAAATATTGATTATGATGCGGAATGAGGAATATTATCCTACGATGAAGGAGGTACAGATGGGGGGGAGGGTGATTTGCTGCGTATTTATTCCGTTCCAATCTCTCCGAAAGGTGAACACAACGTTTGAGCTAGATCCATCGTTCTTTGCCTATTTGGTACAGAATGCTTCAAAGAAATTAAGTTATTGGATCACTTTCCAAACGCGCTTCCTGAACCCAACACATGACGCCTCGTGAATCACGATGAGCGCTGTGTCGGGCTGCCGGTCGCAAACCCAAACAAAGAAATATCCGCACGCGGCGCGTCGGCGGATGATGCCTACGCAGCCGCCTTACCGCCCTCCCCCGTCCCGCCTCCCGCCCCTCCCCCTCGCGCCAGGCCACCCGCTCCGCGCCGCTCGCAGGCTATCTGCGCAACTGGCCGCGGCGATAGTATGTCAGCCTTGCCACGCCGCGCGTTCACGTCTTGGAGCCTTATCGCTGAGCCAGCTCCGCCGCGGCCGCCTCCGGCAGTGGGTGGTGACGCCTCAATCTCAGGGCCCTGGCACGAGAGCGATCTGGCCCTTGGTTCAATAGCCCTACAACCCTCCCACAAAGCCCTTTGTGATGAGATAATTTCACCACGCACGATTCATCATCTTCCTCTTTCCTCTTCTTTTTTCTCTTCTTCTTCTTCTTCTTCTTCTTCTTCTTCTTCTTCTTATTATTATTATATTATTATTATTATGGAATTATTGTTAATAAAAGAAGACAAAATATTACACTATTTGCACTTAATGATAAATAAAATGAATGGCGGACCGTACTTCGCAACATGTGATTGAAACTATTAATATCATGATTTTAATTTTAGTGTTATGGCAAATGTTTATTACATGAGATAATGAGACAATTAAAAGAAACAACAGTTTGTGGTGGTGTGGGTTCTTTCAGAAGCGAAGAAAAACCTCCATGCCGTACAATCGAACAAGCAATCATTTGATTTCCGTTGTCAGCGATCACAACACTTAGTGACTCGCAGATTGTTGGCTGTGTCCTCATTACTTTGTTAAAAAACAATATTAACATATCCGAAGCATATTGTAGAGTTAACGAATACAAATTATTACAAATTTACAGAGTGGCTAATAGGAAAGTGTATGAGTATTAGCACTAAATGTCTTTCGTTTGTGATGACTGAAAGTAAACAGGGACTATTTATTCTTTTGCAGATGCCTACTTATAGAAAAAATCCTTTTGGTAATTATAGGTTTTGAGATGAAAGACTCTTCGCAAGCAATTCTTACAATCATACTCAAGTTGACAGAGTGTTGAAGTTTGACATGTTACAGAAGCAGTTCAATTACATTTTGGTTTTGCAGTGATATTTTCTAATGCATAATGAAGGATCTTTTTCTAATTTGTAAGTATCAATTTGTTATTTGTATATAATAAATTCTTGGTTGTGATAAAAACGTGTTTATATCAATATACAAGTAATAATGCATTATTTATGCATACTTGTATTTTATTATGTATATTGTGATATTTATTCACGTTATTCTATATTTATGCATGTTTGGGTTAAACCACCACCGAGAATACAATCGTTCGCTGCAACATGTTAACAGTTTAACCAAAAATGCATAAACTATAAAATAACATGGCATTTGGCACACGGGGAATATTCCTCTCCTCGGTCTAAGGGACTGCTCAGTCAACTGTCGTTTTTCTATTGACTTCCATTCAAATGTTGTAGACGTGTATGTGTCCTCATAGGCCGCCGAGGAGAACAATACCCCGTTAAGCCCAAAACATCGCGGCCACGGCCTCGTATTCTCCCTCTCTCCCCGGCGTAGAGGCCCGCGCACTGATATGGACGGGGCCGCGCTTTTGGCCTCGCTAGAGCGGCGCGGCGCTCGCGCCGTTGCCGCCCTCCCACGCCGACGCCTCCATATTGCGGCGCGGAGGACGGCGGGCGGGCGGAGGGGCGGGCGGCGCGCCGGGGAGCGCAGAGTTGCGCGACTCGCCCGCCGAGCAGATACGTTGTCAGACGGCCGGCGCGTCAGTCTCGGCCGCCGCCGCCGCCTCCGCACGGCGTCGCGCCGCGCCGCCGTCGCCGCCACCACCGCCGCCGCCGCCCGGCCTGGCCACAGGCGACGCGTGGCTCCCCGCCCGCTACAGGTGGGTGCGAGCTGCTCGGCTGCAGCCCCACGCCCGCGTGCCGCGCCTGCGCGACGCCGCCGCCGCTTGGCAGCGACGCGACGCCCTGAACGAAAGTGAACTTGTTTCCAAAAGGGGGGAAGGAAATGTAGTCACATTCAGTCCAATCGTTCAAGATTCAATAGGGTTCTACGGTTGGGCGGATTAAACATGGGGAGACTGGACATTCTTGAGCGCCGAATTTGGCAGCATGATGAAGAAGCTTCTTCAGAATATATTGTTGATACGTAAAACTAGAAAACCAACGGAAAATTCATATATATGTTATTTTAGAAATCATCTCTTCAATTTACTTTCTTCATCCCTTCGTTTGATATTTGTAGGTTCTCGGTTTCCAGTCAGTTTATAACTAAAAACCACATAACAAAAAATTGTTACAAAAAATGTGTGGTTTCTGATTATTATCTGATATAAACGTGACAATCTTTAAATATTAAACATGCGGATATGCATAGACTGTCGTAATAATTGGAAAACTGCATGCATTCCTTTTGTGTCTAGGGATATTTTGCTTCAGGAAAACATTTTGCTCAGGCCGGTTGAAGCCTTTCACTTTCATAAATTTTGATCTGCCATTTTTAAAGTTTGTATAGGCGTCTCATATGATTTGCGAATTATTAATACATGAATATCACTTTAACTCCTTTGTCACTTACTATTAAACACATTCCTTATGAGGAGCATCATCAATAATGGGTATCTACACACGTGCTGTATGAAATACAAACAACAAATAAAGGAATGGGTAGTTCTCCTATTTTTTTACTAAAAATATTAACACTTAAAATTTCAGAGTGTCTAAAACTATTTAAAATTCGTGGTAGATTTATTAATTTAGTTGTTGAAGTTTCGGACTCCTACTACTGACGTCATTTACACACTTGGGGTTGATCAAAGAAATAGATTATAGGGAAAATAATAATGATGGAGAAATGGTGGAAGGCAAACGGAGAGAATCTGTAAAAAAATCCACCGAAAGCTCAATTTGTCTCGAATGAAATTCTACAAGATTGACGGATCCCAGTAACCGAAGGCGTATTTTTGCCAGGAGCAATCCCCCTCCCCCGCAGTGTATGTCATGTTGCAGTTAGACACTTACAATTTATAGAAAATATTACACAGCATTTCTTTTTCCCATAGTTTTTTCAATATAATGTCTAAAGACATTTTAGTGGAAAAGATGTCTTTGCAATATACAAAATTTAATTCCATTTGAAACTTGTAAATGCAATTGCTTGGACAATAATTATATTTTTCCTACGGATTAACACATTAAATACGCTTGTACGAATAATTATCTTTGACATTAGTATCACCACTAAATGGGTTGCCAGTTGTTCGTCATTCCTCAATGGCGAGTACCACAAATGATGATCAACCAATTGTCCTAATTCCATTGGCTTCAATATTTCCTTTAAGCTGTTAAATAAGTTTCCATGCGTTACTCTTTCACACTAATGAACTCTTTAATTTAATACAATATTTCCAATGATGATTATCTTGACAGTATGTTGATACTTTTTGATTCAGACCTTCCCGGTTTATTTATACTCACTTCATATTTCTCTCTCGTTTTTCAAATAGATAGTAACATTCGGTGAAAGTTAAGAAAATAGCGAACTAAAAGTTTGGTATAATTAAAATTACTTCCAAACATTTGTTAGTCATTGATTCAGAAAATCGAAATAATTATTTTCTCTAATTACAATAAAGAAGTAAAATAAGAAAAATTATGGACCTACATTTTATTTAATACTAAGTAAGAAATACCGTATTTTCTGTACATATACTGAAAGTACCGTATTTTCTGATTCATTAGAATTAAGGATATTGTGCGGGATTAAGGATATTCATTAGTGTTAAGGGCATTGTGATCTTACTAAAATACTATAAAAAACTTAAATTCCTCATCCCCCCCCAAATGTCATAACTGAAGAAGTTTCATTACAATAAATATATCAATATTAAAAATTGAACATTTTTTCGTGAATTGAAATATATATTGAAATCAAATTAAAAATTCATTTGTAGGTGCGTGTAACACTAATGTAACACTAATCTGAGGATCTTCAAATAAAACAGCAGACATTATTGCTGCAAAAGTTGCGCCAATGATAACTAAAGCATTGAGTTGTTATTTTTGAGAAACAAAATAACCAAAAACCCTAAAGTTGTCATAATTTGATACACTTCTCTACGTAAATGTCTTTACGCTTTCATACTTACACAATCTACAGAATATTTAAATCATATACGCATCATAACATTTAATTTCAGGAAGCTTTTATTTATTCAACGTGCTTTTCATTTTTTGTTGAATAGTTTATTATACTTGTAATGTTTAGAGATTCATTTGTTTCTTTAGAGCACGTTGTTTTATTCATACTTATTTTTGTTGGAGAAGTCTCTCATGGTCACTTTGCGGTGTACAAGATGACACATTCCGTGAACCGCAGATTGGCAGCGTATGGCCTATGAAGCCCAGTTAAGCCACCACGACAACCACCTCCTAATAAATTCAACCTACAGTTTCTTCAGACTTTTTCACTTGAGTGTTTAATCAGAGCATGGGCCACGTGACGGAACCAAGAAAAACAACAACCAAAAACATGCATTATAAAGACTACATAATTTAAGTATTCATTTCATCTCAGTTACTTTGTTAGTTGATTTTCTTCACATTTAAAGGGAAAGTATATGAACATTGTTTCAATAAATTTTGATTTTCTTCATCCGTGGAAACCTTCGTTTTCCCTGAGGAAAGTTTCCATTCTGTTCTCTGAATTCCTGTGTATAAGGAATCATATTAAGATTAACTATTAGAAACCAACCAGCGAAGTTGATTATTTTCAGTAATGTGAAGAAAATTTCTTTCTCGTGCATTGTCGATTGTGTATACTCGAAACTACTAACAACGAATCTTTTGAACAGAGTAAGATAAACAATATAAGAAAAGGGTCTTTCATGTCGACAGATGTACCGGAGACTTCGGAAGCACAGTTACCTTTCTATCATAAACTCACTTTTCTTACTAATATTGCTCTGAAATACCTAATACTAGGCTTAATCCGTTGAGATGGTAGATTTTAGTACTTGCTAAATATGCGATATGTTACCAAACGCTAAAAAAATTAGTAATTGTACGTATGACGGTCGGTAGAGTATATTTCGAAAGGTTTTTAATCTGCTATAAAATACGAAATCGGTCGCAAAATGCGAAAACGCATTCGAAGTACGACATAGTTGAGAATCTGCGTTATTATTCCTTAGTTATATTTTATGGTTTCCTTCATATTAGCTCTCTATCTAGAGATGCGACATCGACATCAAATGGATGTTTGAAAAGATTTAATTTGAGAGCGGTCATGTTTATTAATTTAACTGTCACAACAAAGTAAAAAAAAACAAACAATAAGAACATTTGAAAAAAACTGATTCTGAAAGCCTGGCACCAGGGCCATCTCAAGGGGTGTCAGCTTCCTCAGTTGCCTGCTGCGAGAAGTTCACAAGAGGGAAGAAAAGGATCTACGCGTCCGTCGCATGCGTTACGTCTTGCGCTATTATATTCGTTCGCAAATGGCGAATTAGCTTTGCTTATTTCCTGATTTTACACGGAAAATTGAAAAAGGATGAAAAGCGTTTGTATCAAAGAGTCCTCCCTTAATAAAAATTTTCTCAACAAATGCTACAAAGTGGGAAATCGTAATTTTTATGCTATAAAATGCTATAGCGTTGTTTTCAAAATGCGCTTATTTTAAAATTTAAAAAAAAGATAAATTGTACCATCAGTATTATTGCGTTGTCGCCCACTTGGTTACTCGCACGGGTGCGATGGTTTGTGCTGTCGCAGGAGCAGCATGGCGCCGGCGATGGTGGCCCCGTTCCGGCACAGCGCGCTGTCGGTGTTCCAGCCGGTGGCGCGGCGGCGGGCGCGCAGCCCGGGCGCGCTGCCGCTGCTGGTGCCGGCGCGGCACGCCGCCCCTGGCCGCCTCCGCCACCGCCACCGGGCCGCCAGCCCCGTGTACGCGGACCGCCGCGCCGCCGCCGGCAGCGGCAGCAGCAGCCCGCCCGAGACGCTGGTGTCGTGGTGCCACCCGGTGGCCGCCATGTCGTCGGGGTCTTCTTCGGGCCGTGCGCCCGCCACACCGCTGCCGCCCCGCCCCCGCCGCCCCTGGCCTTCCTGCGGCCGCCCGCCGCCGTGGACGCGACGCCGCCGCCGCCCGCGCTCTCCCCGTGCGGCGCGCCCGCCGACGAGGGCGGCCGCCTCATCGACGTGGTGGGGGACGACGCCCGCGGCGCCACGCCGCCGCCGCTGCTGCAGCCGGCCGTCCCGCGCCGCCTCAGGTAAGCTGCGTCACATCAATATTTGCCATTTCCGATTTACACGCTTCGATTTGACAAACGTGTCCGGAATGTAGAGAACGCGTGCAAGAGAATTGTGTTTGAAACTCCGCAGGTCTTGCGCGCGTCTTCTACAACTTTGGAATCGTTCGTCGAAACGAAGCCTGTAAATCTAGTGGTCAGAAGGAACGTGTAAACACAGAGTGTAGGGCATTCAAGAAATACAAAACAAATTTCGATTGTCTTATTTGTAAACATATCAATTTTTTAAAGAAAGGTTAAATAAATGGTTGTCAATCCAGGAAGCTGGCTAGGTAACTATTGGCAACACACCAGAAAATAAACTTCTTCACATTATTTCATATAAATTTAATTCAACGTTAGTGACAGCTGATCTCCGAACAACAACTTTTTTTGTGCAGAATTTAAACTATATGATGATCGAGAAATATCCTAAAGTACGGGTTTTCTCACTTAAAGTAGTTTTATTGTTTATTTCTTTACTGAAGACACTTTCAGTAAAACATTATATTGATGACGTACAGTGTATACGTAACGTTTTACTGACCTTCGTCAGTCAAATATTTAAAACTTGAGGGAAACGAAGAATTACGAAGTATGGAGGATCTCCCGAACTCGCAGGCACATGGGTGTACATGTGTGTCCATATGTAGAGCTACCATTGCGAGCGTGCATTTTCAAATGTTAACGAAGCGGATCAATAAGCACAATGATTTCCCACCGCTATTCCTCTTCCCCACGCCGCCGCTGTCTTCGCCGTAGCTGGTGTCTTCGTCCAAGTTCTCCATCAGATAATATTATTGAACTCATGAACAACTGCATCACGAGGTTTTTTAATTAACCGGCTACCTCTTTTTAACTCCAATAATTTAAAAATATGTGCCTTCAACTATAATTCTACGGAGGTTCTAGCATTTAAATAATCTCCTTTCATGTCTTCACACAAATTTTATGTGTCAGAGACGTGCATGTACCATGTTTTCTTTTGCCTGTTCGTACATTCCTTGAGAGACATTTATCATTTTCAATATTTCAATGTAAGTTTGCTATATTAGTTCTCTTAAAATAGCCCACATTTATCAATGTAGGTTTCCAATATTAGTTCTCTTAAAGTAGCCCACATTCACCAACATAAAACTATTTCCTCCTCTTCATCTTCAAAAAAGGTTTCCAGTGTGGCTTTTGTTGTTTGAACATCGAAAATAAATTTGATCCTAAAATATTTCTCCGCATAGAGGTATTGAGCTATAAAAATTAATATTTTGTGTCCAGTTAGGAAGTATTCCCTATTTGTGGCATCAATTCGCAGCGTCGTCTATTCTGCGAGCACTGTTTGGTAAACCAATGTTCAATGTAGCCTGTACCTCTGATCACGCTTTCGAATTGTCAGGCCCTAGTCTTCGAAAAACTATATTTCATCCTGAAACATGTTGAAATTTTTCCATTGCAATTCGTAAATATGATTATTTTCGAATAAACGTTTCAATTCTGCAACTGTCAAAACACACCGTGTATAATTTACTAGAATAATCCATGCCATTATTTGATGTGACTGACGAATCAGCTGGACATTTGGAATCACCATTTCATTGTTTAAAAGACATTTACTTTCATTGCTTTCAGGCATTAAAACGGAAGAGGATCTCGAGTTCATTTAAAAATAGGGAAATCCTAATGACCGCACAATATAATACTAAGACAAGAAATGTAAATGTCCTTCACATCTCTCCTATTTGTCAGACGTGCTTTAGGTGATTTTTCACATTTTAGATCTGCTCAAAGACGTGGGCTTCTCATGAGTGCCCGCAGCCTAAATAAAAGGAAATTCTTCTCCAAGAGGTACTCATGCGCCTCGGAAGTGTTCGGATTGTCATCTCCTTACACGTCATTACACATCACGGAGATGGTATTTTGGATGCGATTTTTATTATTTTTAAATATTCATTAAATTCCCAGATAAATAAATAATTCGTTTCCAAGCCACTCGCCTTTGTTAAAAAAGGGATAAGCCTGACCAGTACTTTCCGGGCAATGTTTTACGTGAAAATAATTCTTCCGCAACATTGACTTAATTGAAATAATTCCCTCATTGTTTTATGTTTAGTTATTTATGTCAGAGACGTTTTATATTAGCAAACCAAACAGAAAGAATTGAGTTCACTTCACTTCACTACACCGCGCCACATATTACTTTACCTAAATATTAACTGCTGTATACGTTTTAACTGTAGGCTACCTAATAATCGCACCTTTCACTTCACTTCACTTCACGTTTCCACCCTATTGACTAAATTCTGTATTTTTTTCCTGAAGCCTCGGGCTGAGTAAGAAAAGGGTTCAAAATCTACCGCAGGCCAATCTTTCCAATCTACTATTGTTCTATTAACAATGGAGAACTCGCCTACATCCGTTATTTGTATTCGTGTTCTAATTTTATATTTATGATCAAATCTATTTAAATAATCTGGTTTATTTAGTCTTCACCGAATTTCCCTCCACATATAACAACCAGTGTAAGATTTACACAGAGCGCAAAGTCACGACCTCTTCGGTGCTATGATGATTCCCAATTCGCAGGTATGTTCCTCTGAAATGTGTTTTTGCCGCTCTGTTTTGTATATTCTCTAAGCTCTTTTCAAGTCCTATTCTGTACGGATCCCAACATCTCCGTATTCCATTACTGGTCTAACAAGCACAGTATACGCGATTTCTTTTGCTTTCGTATTGCTTTTTTTTTAAGATTTCACATGATGAAATGCATTGACCTCTAAGCTTTACTCACTACATAGTTTGTTTCTCCCACCCCAACTTGCGGTCCAGTAAGATGCTTAGGTATTTACAGGGAAATACATAATTACCTACTAAAATTGTATTGGTTGAAGATCTCTGGCCCTACAAAATGTGATCGAATTACTTTTATTCCCATTTATAGTCATTTTATTAGCTCGTGCGCAGTCATAACTTTTATTTACATCGTCCTGTAGTTGAATCGTATCGTGCTGTTCAGAAATATCCCTGTGTAATATGGGACCCTGGAAATAACGTAACGTACCCCATTCTCGATAAATGCAGTCCAATTGAGACTTTTTGATTTCTATCGCTAAGAAATTCACTAATCCGTGCTATTACCCGCCTGACAATTTTAGCATCGATGAGATTCAATATCTGTAAGCCATGCGGCACTACATCAAACACATTAGCAAAATCAATAGCTATTGCGTCCACTCTTTCCCCTAAGCCAATTACTTCATATGAGTATTGAGGAAGAGAAATAATCTTTCACACGAAAAGCCATTTCTAAAAATATGCTGTCAAAAAAAAAATTCTGTGTGATCTAAATGATTTCTCATCGATTTGGATACTAATCTTTCAAACAATTTACCAACTACTGACGTAAGACTAACGTGCCTATAATTTTTCACAAATGTATTTTATATTTATCAAGAAGTATATAAAATATCGATTTTATGGTAACAAAAAATAAACAAGCGGGTTAATTACAACGTTATCTAAATATTGTGTCTTACAACATTTTGTGATAATTTGTTTTCAAAAATGTTATTGGGAGTAGGGGTTAATAGAAAGGCCAATGAAGCTGAAATCAGTGCTTTCACAACTAATTTCATTAAACAATATTCCTATCATAGTCACCAGAGGAGATTTCTACAGTTATGTTAGTTTACATCTTGTATTCAGTAGTTGCAATTGTATGATTCTACGTTTTTAGAAGTAAAAATTGAATTACTGAAGTACTTAGTAATATTTCATATTTTGTTTTCTCTAGGTATTGCAAATTTATATTTATATTCACTGATTCGATTTAGTAATTTCGTTTGTTCAGTTACATTAGCTTCAGATTCAATATTTTCTCTTCTTGCACAGTACGATGTTCAAAACGTGCCGTTGATATGCACATTCCCAGAAATTTGTAAACACCATTGTATTTATGAGTTAAAGTACTTAAAATGCCTTCAAACGAAGTTTTTCGAAAACTCAAAAATTTCCTGTGAAAAAGAGCTTTAAATTTCGAATTTACAGTAGCGCTTAAACGCCAGATTTTAAAAAAGCTGTTCCAAATTGTTGAAAGAAAATTGCCATATAGGATGATTCTTTGTTCTCACTGTTCTTTAATAATATTAAAATGTTTTCACTCCACAATTAGGCAACTTAATAAAAAATTAATAAATTTTCAAAAAATGAACTTTCGGCGGCGATAGATGGCGGCTGGCAAGAGTATATGGCAAGTCTGAGTAGCTAGCCCTGACCAAAGGAAATAGAAAACTAATACGGGAATGCCTGTGCCATACTGTAGCTCCACTAGTTCAACGTTTACACATCATTAAATACAATATTGAATATCTACGAAATTGGTTAGATAGTAGGAATATCTAAGGAATCCCACAGTCACATATTGCACGGAGAATTGTACATGATAAAACTTTACGCAATATGGGAGCGGTGCTTGCTCCTGGCCGATCAAAAAATCATTCACATGAAAGTGCTGTTCTCGTTTTAACAAAAACAAGATTGATTTTTTTGTTTCGATATGCGGCAATGAATGAAAAATTGATTCTTTATCCCTCGCCAGAATCTAAACAACAATCCAGGCAATGAATAGACGCCAGTTCTTCAGCTCCAAATAAAGCGAAGACACTTTCATCGGTGGTAAAGGTCGTGACTTCACTGTTTCGGGTCGCAAAGGAATTCTGTCTATCGATTATGTTGGGAAAGAAAAGGAATACAACTGGGAAATGCATCCACATTCGGTAGGTTAGAATAGCAAGAATTCTCGAAAATAGACTGCAAAAGAACGTCAGTTTCTATCAAGACAATCCACATTCCCCATAAGTGTTTGGGCATAGCCCGCTAGTGTGCCTAATAGTCGGTGCACTTCATCGATCCTTATGGGATCTAGCGAATGGACGAAGTTTCAAATTGTGATCGCTGGAGCGCTGGTCGCCGATCATTTGCGAGGCCTTCGGGCCGCTTTTATACTTGGAGAAATGTCCACACTTTTGGAAATATTGGATTCAAACTCACGTTGATGGTAATACAAGATGGGGCAGAACCGACTTAATAGTTTTGGAGAGATATAAAAAAGAAGTCTGGTATTTAGAGAAAAAAAATTATTTGCGAAGTTTGTGTTTCATCCCATTTTATATTCATTATGTTTTGAAAATATCATCCGGAAGATGGTGGTCGTTAGCAGCAATACACGTCCTACCAGAGCTAAGGGAGCGGATTATTCAACAAGTAAACGTCCTGGTCCATTCTGTTTATCAACGAGCTGTCCAAAACTTCAGAAGATTGTCTCCAATCGTGCTTTCAGAAGATAATTCCTTGAAATTTCTCATTTCATCATATTTTCTGATTCTACAAAGCCTACACATTCAAGCGTCTGATTATGTAAAGTACCAATAATTGAAACCAGCAATGCAAATTGATCATATAAATTGAAGTCATTAAATAGTTGAAGAAAACGTGGCATGTTACTGTAAATATACAAATAGCGCGTGTATGAAGTAAATATCGTTGCAATAATGAACTGGTATTATTACAATTGCATGTACTTTCTCACATGATTTGCAATGATTACATAATATTAAAATACTACTTGAACATACATTTGGTGGGAGGTACTTGGATGGGGAAAACCCTGCAAGCCGAGGTGGAGGTTGGCGCCGAGATTTGTCACTCAGCGGAGGAAGATTGCCGCCATCTGCCGCGATGTCAGTGCCATTTACGCATGGTCTCTCAATAATGTCAGTGAGAAGGGCCAAATTCCTGA